GTCTATAGTAACTTTTTATATATATATAAGTGAAAGAATCAAAGAGGACGCATAGATTCTCTGTTACTCAGAGTTTCGCGCCTAAACGCTCGTCAGATAGAACTATATAACTATATATATATATATATATTATAAGAGGAAAAAACGACGAGACTACATTTCCCGACAAGCCTGTTTCGTGAATCGCTTCACTCTTCAGGGGTTTAATTAAACCCCTGAAGAGTGAAGCGATTCACGAAACAGGCTTGTCGGGAAATGTAGTTGCGTCGTTTTTTCCTCTCATAATATTTATTCTGCTCTGCTTCAACGTATTGAGCAGTGTTCCACACGAAAATCGACTTGCAGACTTCCTATATATATATATATATATGTTTGACTAGTCAAGGTAACAAAGGATCCCCGCCGGGACAGTCAGCGACCAGTAATCCGTAGCCACCTTCACATCTAACTTAACTTTAATTTATGAAATACCCGTTCTCACCGAGTCTTACCTCTGTTTGTGAATTCAAGCCTAACATCATCTCCAATCAGCGTAAACGAAGCCCACTCAGACACTTTGGTCAAGCCGTTTTTTCTCATCCACTTCATGGCCTGATGAAGGGATTCACTGGCACTTTCTCCTTCAACAAGGTGTTCGTAGAACCGACTCATCAGCTTCTCTGTTGCTGAGTCTGAAATGGCCCACAGCGCAACCAACACCGAGCGAGCACCGGATCCTAAGAACGCACGGGCAATTCCTATAACTCCCTCGGCTGTTATCTCTCCACTTCCACTGTGACAGCAGCTAAGTACCACCAGTTTAGCTTTGACTTTCACTCTTGAGACATCAGCCATCGTCAACATGTAAGCTTCCTTAGGTAGGGTAGTGTTTTGACTGTTGACAGAAGGAATGGGGTAGAGGGAAATTTCTCCCCTTTCGGCGCTACCATGGGCAGCAAAATGTATTAGGCTCACTGAACTTATCCGCTCTATTACTGCCTGCTTCGTTGCTTCCTCTTCAACCAGGGGGGGAACGCCCACCAGTCGTCCGACCATCTCCGCTTCCTTTCTTGCACCTGGCAAATCAACCGTGGGATTGCCTATTATCAAGGCACCAGTGTTGCTGTGATAGTCCTCTGGATTATCTTGAATCATCTTGAGTGTCGTCAAAGAAGGAATGACACGGATCCTACGAGTCTCTGACAGGTATTCGGCTCCCTCCTTTTCACTCAGGGCAGCAAAGGGAACTTTGTACAAACTGCGGTCAGGAACAATAATCACTTCAGGCTCCTCAAGCAAATCATAAACGGGGGCAATAAACATTTTGTAACACAAGGATAGACTTGAAATGACTTCCTCGTCCTCGTCCTCGCCCTCCTCCAAGAGTCGCAACCTTGCTGAGCTTTTTTGTTCGGGGGAGAGAGGTTGCGATTCAACCACATTTAAAGACCGATCTTCACAATCTTCAATGGGCAAAATACCAAGACTCCGGAAATTTTTAGCCAAAAATTTACTCAGAGGCAAGTCTTTGGGCAACCCGGCCTGAACTAGATTCTCTTCAGGTGATATTCTTCTATAGTGAAGGACTCCACCTGTTTTCAAGATCCACAAATGCAGATGATTGTGAAAATAAGAAATGTACAGACAAGTACAGTTGTTTTTCGTTCTAAAAATGTTTTCAATGCCAAACCAAGATTGTGGATTAGCAGAGATGTGCGTTTTAACCGAGTACTTCTCTGCCATCAAGTCTGATAGGCCTCTAGCTCGACCCAACTCCTCAACGTAAAGAGCATCACGAGTTTTTCCGGTGACACAAAGCAGAGTGCAAAGCAGCTTGTAGGGAAATATTCCTGAGTGCTCCAGAAATGATGTTTTGAACTGATCATTGGCGCCCAAGAAAGATCTCAGCTCCTCATACTTTTCAATACAAAGTTGAAGACACGAAAGGGAGTCTTCGACTTTATTTTGAAATAAATACAAAATGGCGTATTCTTGAAGAATTTGGAACACTGTTCTTCTATCTCCAATATCTCTGGATATGGATAAAGCTTTCTCCAAGCATACTTCCGAAACTTCATAATCTCCAACAGTTCTGGACATATTTCCAAGATTTGCAAGATCTACTGCCTCCCCTCCCTTATCACCGATTTCAGTTCTGATATTAAGCGCCTTTTGGAGATACTTTCTAGCCTTGCCGTATTGCCCGAGTAAATGAAACACAGTACCTAGGTTTCCGTAGTCAGTTGCTTCTCCTTTTCTGTCGCCAATCTCAGTTCTGATGACAAGCGCTTTTTTATGATACTCTTTAGCCTTGTCGTATCGCCCGAGCGAATGAAAAACAGTACCTAGGTTTCCGTAGTCAGCTGCTACTCCTTTTCTGTCGCCAATCTCAGTTCTGATGACAAGGGCTTTTTGATGATACTCTTTAGCCTTGTCGTATTGCCCGAGCGAATGAAACACAATACCTAGGTTTCCGTAGTCAGCTGCTACTCCTTGTCTGTCGCCAATCTCAATTCTGATGACAAGCGCTTTTTGATGATACTCTTTAGCCTTGTCGTATTGCCCGAGCGAATGAAACACAGTACCTAGGTTTCCGTAGTCAGCTGCCATTCCTTTTCTGTCGCCAATCTCAATTCTGATGACAAGCGCTTTTTGATGATACTCTTTAGCCTTGTCGTATTGCCCGAGCGAATGAAACACAATACCTAGGTTTCCGTAGTCAGCTGCTACTCCTTTTCTGTCGCCAATCTCAGTTCTGATGAGAAGCGCTTTTTGAAGATACTCTTTAGCCTTGTCGTTTTGCCCGAGCGAATGAAACACAGTACCTAGGTTTCCGTAGAATAATGCCTCTCCTTTTCTGTCGCCAATCTCAGGTCTGATGACAAGCGCTTTTTGATGATACTCTTTAGCCTTGTCGTATTGCCCGAGCGAATGAAACACTGTACCTAGGTTTCCGTAGCATAATGCCTCTCCTTTTTTGTCGCCAATCTCAGTTTTGATGACAAGCGCTTTTTGATGATACTCTTTAGCCTTGTCGTATTGCCCGAGCGAATAAAACACACTACCTAGGCTTCCGTAGTCAGCTGCTACTCCTTCTCTGTCGCCAATCTCAGTTCTGATGACAAGCGCTTTTTGAAGATACTCTTTAGCCTTGTCGTATTGCCCGAGCGAATGAAACACAGTACCTAGGTTTCCGCAGCATGATGCCTCTCCTTTTCGGTCGCCAATCTCAGTTCTAATGACAAGGGCTTTTTGATGATACTTTTCAGCCTTGTCGTATTGCCCGAGCAAATGAAACACAGCACCTAGGTTTCCGCAGCATGATGCCTCTCCTTTTCGGTCGCCAATCTCAGTTCTAATGACAAGGGCTTTTTGGAGATACTCTTTAGCCTTATCGTATTGCCCGAGCGAATGAAACACAATACCTAGGTTTTCGTAGTCAGTTGCTACTCCTCCTCTGTCGCCAATCTCAGTTCTGATGACAAGCGCTTTTTGATGATACTCTTTAGCCTTGTCGTATTGCCCGAGCGAATGAAACACAGTACCTAGGTTTCCGCAGCATGATGCCTCTCCTTTTCGGTCGCCAATCTCAGTTCTAATGACAAGGGCTTTTTGATGATACTTTTCAGCCTTGTCGTATTGCCCGAGCGAATGAAACACAGCACCTAGGTTTCCGCAGCATGATGCCTCTCCTTTTCGGTCGCCAATCTCAGTTCTAATGACAAGGGCTTTTTGGAGATACTCTTTAGCCTTATCGTATTGCCTGAGCGAATGAAACACAATACCTAGGTTTTCGTAGTCAGTTGCTACTCCTCCTCTGTCGCCAATCTCAGTTCTGATGACAAGCGCTTTTTGATGATACTCTTTAGCCTTGTCGTATTGCCCGAGCGAATGAAACACAATACCTAGGTTTCCGTAGTCAGCTGCTACTCCTTTTCTGTCGCCAATCTCAGTTCTGATGAGAAGCGCTTTTTGAAGATACTCTTTAGCCTTGTCGTTTTGCCCGAGCGAATGAAACACAGTACCTAGGTTTCCGTAGAATAATGCCTCTCCTTTTCTGTCGCCAATCTCAGGTCTGATGACAAGCGCTTTTTGATGATACTCTTTAGCCTTGTCGTATTGCCCGAGCGAATGAAACACTGTACCTAGGTTTCCGTAGCATAATGCCTCTCCTTTTTGGTCGCCAATCTCAGTTTTGATGACAAGCGCTTTTTGATGATACTCTTTAGCCTTGTCGTATTGCCCGAGCGAATAAAACACACTACCTAGGTTTCCGTAGTCAGCTGCTACTCCTTCTCTGTCGCCAATCTCAGTTCTGATGACAAGCGCTTTTTGAAGATACTCTTTAGCCTTGTCGTATTGCCCGAGCGAATGAAACACAGTACCTAGGTTTCCGCAGCATGATGCCTCTCCTTTTCGGTCGCCAATCTCAGTTCTAATGACAAGGGCTTTTTGATGATACTTTTCAGCCTTGTCGTATTGCCCGAGCGAATGAAACACAGCACCTAGGTTTCCGCAGCATGATGCCTCTCCTTTTCGGTCGCCAATCTCAGTTCTAATGACAAGGGCTTTTTGGAGATACTCTTTAGCCTTATCGTATTGCCCGAGCGAATGAAACACAACACCTAGGTTTTCGTAGTCAGTTGCTACTCCTCCTCTGTCGCCAATCTCAGTTCTGATGACAAGCGCTTTTTGATGATACTCTTTAGCCTTGTCGTATTGCCCGAGCGAATGAAACACAGTACCTAGGTTTCCGCAGCATGATGCCTCTCCTTTTCGGTCGCCAATCTCAGTTCTAATGACAAGGGCTTTTTGATGATACTTTTCAGCCTTGTCGTATTGCCCGAGCGAATGAAACACAGCACCTAGGTTTCCGCAGCATGATGCCTCTCCTTTTCGGTCGCCAATCTCAGTTCTAATGACAAGGGCTTTTTGGAGATACTCTTTAGCCTTATCGTATTGCCTGAGCGAATGAAACACAATACCTAGGTTTTCGTAGTCAGTTGCTACTCCTCCTCTGTCGCCAATCTCAGTTCTGATGACAAGCGCTTTTTGATGATACTCTTTAGCCTTGTCGTATTGCCCGAGCGAATGAAACACAGTACCTAGGTTTCCGTAGTCAGCTGCTACTCCTTCTCTGTCGCCAATCTCAGTTCTGATGAGAAGCGCTTTTTGAAGATACTCTTTAGCCTTGTCGTTTTGCCCGAGCGAATGAAACACAGTACCTAGGTTTCCGTAGAATAATGCCTCTCCTTTTCTGTCGCCAATCTCAGGTCTGATGACAAGCGCTTTTTGATGATACTCTTTAGCCTTGTCGTATTGCCCGAGCGAATGAAACACAGTACCTAGGTTTCCGTAGCATAATGCCTCTCCTTTTTTGTCGCCAATCTCAATTTTGATGACAAGCGCTTTTTGATGATACTCTTTAGCCTTGTCGTATTGCCCGAGCGAATAAAACACACTACCTAGGCTTCCGTAGTCAGCTGCTACTCCTTCTCTGTCGCCAATCTCAGTTCTGATGACAAGCGCTTTTTGAAGATACTCTTTAGCCTTGTCGTATTGCCCGAGCGAATGAAACACAGTACCTAGGTTTCCGCAGCATGATGCCTCTCCTTTTCGGTCGCCAATCTCAGTTCTAATGACAAGGGCTTTTTGATGATACTTTTCAGCCTTGTCGTATTGCCCGAGCGAATGAAACACAGCACCTAGGTTTCCGCAGCATGATGCCTCTCCTTTTCGGTCGCCAATCTCAGTTCTAATGACAAGGGCTTTTTGGAGATACTCTTTAGCCTTATCGTATTGCCTGAGCGAATGAAACACAATACCTAGGTTTTCGTAGTCAGTTGCTACTCCTCCTCTGTCGCCAATCTCAGTTCTGATGACAAGCGCTTTTTGATGATACTCTTTAGCCTTGTCGTATTGCCCGAGCGAATGAAACACAGTACCTAGGTTTCCGTAGTCAGCTGCTACTCCTTCTCTGTCGCCAATCTCAGTTCTGATGAGAAGCGCTTTTTGAAGATACTCTTTAGCCTTGTCGTTTTGCCCGAGCGAATGAAACACAGTACCTAGGTTTCCGTAGAATAATGCCTCTCCTTTTCTGTCGCCAATCTCAGGTCTGATGACAAGCGCTTTTTGATGATACTCTTTAGCCTTGTCGTATTGCCCGAGCGAATGAAACACAGTACCTAGGTTTCCGTAGCATAATGCCTCTCCTTTTTTGTCGCCAATCTCAATTTTGATGACAAGCGCTTTTTGATGATACTCTTTAGCCTTGTCGTATTGCCCGAGCGAATGAAACTCAGTACCTAGGTTTCTGTAGTCAGCTGCTTCTCCTTCTCTGTCGCCAATCTCAGTTCTGATGACAAGCGCTTTTTGAAGATACTCTTTAGCCTTGTCGTATTGCCCGAGCGAATGAAACACAGTACCTAGGTTTCCGCAGCATGATGCCTCTCCTTTTCGGTCGCCAATCTCAGTTCTAATGACAAGGGCTTTTTGATGATACTTTTCAGCCTTGTCGTATTGCCCGAGCGAATGAAACACAGCACCTAGGTTTCCGCAGCATGATGCCTCTCCTTTTCGGTCGCCAATCTCAGTTCTAATGACAAGGGCTTTTTGGAGATACTCTTTAGCCTTATCGTATTGCCCGAGCGAATGAAACACAATACCTAGGTTTTCGTAGTCAGTTGCTACTCCTCCTCTGTCGCCAATCTCAGTTCTGATAACAAGCGCTTTTTGATGATACTCTTTAGCCTTGTCGTATTGCCCGAGCGAATGAAACACTGTACCTAGGTTTCCGTAGTCAGCTGCTACTCCTTCTCTGTCGCCAATCTCAGTTCCTATGACAAGCGCCTTTTGAAGATACTCTTTAGCCTTTTCGTATTGCCCGAGCGAATGAAACACTGTACCTAGGTATCGGTAGTCAGCTGCTACTCCTTCTCTGTCTCCAATCTCAGTTCTGATGACAAGCGCTTTTTGAAGATACTCTTTAGCCTTGTCGTATTGCCCGAGCGAATGAAACACAGTACCTAGGTTTCCGTAGCATAATGCCTCTTCTTTTCGGTCGCCAATCTCAGTTCTAATGACAAGCGCTTTTTGGAGATACTCTTTAGCCTTGTCGTATTGCCCGAGAGACTTAAGCAACATTCCTATGTTTCCGTGACAGGATGCTTCTCCTTTTTTGTCGCCAATTTCGGTCGTTATGGTAAGGGCCCTCTGAAGATACTTCTTCGCTTTAAGGTTTTCGCCAAGTTTATGAAACATATATCCGAGTCTTATGCAGGCGCTTGCTTCTCCATTTTTTTCACCAGTTTGTCTCTTTATATTAACTGCTTTTTCATAAAGCTTTTTGGCATCTGTAAACCTGTTTTGACTCTCAATTATCTCTGCTAGAGCCATGCTTACATCTCCTTCTGTTACTAAGTCACCAGTCTCGCTGAGTAAGACAAGCAGTTTCATGCCGTATCTTTCCGCACTGATGTATTCAGAGATACTACGATAAGCGCCGAAAAGAGAAGAATAAATGGCCTCGTATATTAGTGGGAGTCGTGAAATGAATTGGTCTTTGCTGTTTTGATCGGCGTTATTTAGCAAAATCAAACATTCGTTCCATATCTCAATGGCTTTCTGAATGCGATCTGAGTTGAGCAGGAACAGGGCGATGTACATGAAAGCTATCATGGCTTCCGTCTGCTGTTTGGTTTCCATTGCCATCCTCTCCTGTTATTGAGGAAACATTACTTTTAGTAACAGAAGTTAATCAAGTGATTCGCTAATCTGGATTCATAATGAGTCACTACAAACAGGGACCCACATGTGAAGTTACAAAAACGGGCTGAGTCGATTACATCTGGAAACTTCTTGTAACGAGCTGAAAGTGTTAGAATTCAAAATATCGACTTAACACAAAAAAATAAGTGAAGAAGAGGCGTGGATAAGTACAACTGAAGTACATCACAACGGATCACATTCGGTAAAACTTGTCAAATCAGTTTGACCTGCACAGTTTTTTTTTTAAAACGGACTGTGTGACTGTCACACTGTGAGAGTCAACTTTTATCCGAGTGATTTTTGATCTAGCTGTTTTGCTTGTTCATCTTATCAAGTAAAAAAATTAAAAGACGCGCGCTTGAGTTTGACTAATGATCGTGCGTTGAGGGCTCGCGCCATCAATTAGGGGCTTTTTAAAGGTCGCGGGTTTCTTAAAAAGAAAAAAAACATGAAAGGATTGGTGAGCCTTTTACTACAACGTTCTGGGAACATTTTAAAATGTTCTTCTAGCAGTTTATCACCTAGTAATGAGCTTACTTATCTGAAGTATTTGGCTGAAAACATAGGATTGATTTTAGTTTTCATCACGTGATTGTGGAAACCATCAGTTTGCTTAACAATCGTAGCTAATGAGGTTGAAATATATTGTATAAAACCATAAAGGTTTGAAGAAAGCACTTTTACAGCAGAGATATAAAGCATCCGTTCAGCGGAAAAGCACGTGTATACTATGAATGCAATTACAGTGAATATAAGTAAGTTTCAGTTTTTCTAAGAAAGTTGTAACATCTCTCTTCGTGAGCGCGCAGCGTCTTGACTTCTTATGCGGGACTCTGGCGCTTTAACAGACAAAGAAACAGATTACGGCCTTTAGGAAAATATTTACCGTAAAACCCGCCGCTAGTATCCAAAGATTTAAGTGAAGGGTATCACGACCATGACACGCTTGTGTACAAGTCGAATCTACCGCGATCTCTGAATCGTTCGTTGATCTCATAAAATCAATTCAAATTAATAGCTAATGCAGGTCAAAGCCACTGGAAAACCACGTAATGAACCACCACGGATTTCGTTCAGCGAGGAACAGTCCACAACATAGATAGAGGTCTGATTTTATTTTTATTTTGAACGATACTCAATAACCTTAGTTAACGAGGATAAATTATACGGTATAAGCCACAGAGATTTGAAAAAGTCGCCGTAGAACGAGTCTATTTCATTGTGGCGGCGATTTAATTGCGCCATTAACCGCTTTAACGAAGGGCTAACGCTCGAAACGGGTCAACTACATATTGCAAACACAAGGATCCAAAAAGCATTTACTGGGCTTTGCCATAAGAGCCTTACCTCTCTACAGCTACTAAATAACGATAGCTGATAAAAAGCAAGTGACTAGAAAAGATTTCCAATCGCACTTACCAAGATGTTGACAACGTGGCTGATGCTTTGAAAATGAATCAACAAAATTAACGAATTACAGTCGGGACTTTTCTCAACCTTCCAAACTTCTGCTGTCGCAGTGTTTTGAGTATCCAGATCACTTGTGTTAGAGGTTATTCCCTTCCCCCCTCTAGGCTAATCGAAATAAAAAGGAAAGTTTTAATTGTATAATTTTTTTGTGTGTTCCTATACCTATCTATTGCGTCCTATTTTGGTTGAAATTTTCAGCAGGTAGTGGTCATATGATAAAGTGCTTATTGATGTGAATTTGGTTTGGCTCTCGTTCATGAAGCAAGGACCTCGCTGCGCTCGGTCCATAGGTTAGGACCCTACCACTCAACCAATGAGTACACAATATTTGGGTTTTGTACGTCACACTGTTATCACTAATGATGTAATTGAACATGAAAAACGAAAAGTGTTTTTCTTTTTTATTCTTTTTTAATAGGGAGCGTGAGGCTTTAGTGTGGGCCTCTTTGAAAGGTTTGATTTTCATCACAAGATCGACCACAGTACAACCTAAGTTTCTTTCTTTAAACGGTTAACTATTTGTGCGTGACAATCGACTCCTGGTCTTCGTAAACTTTTCACTTTCTAACGAGTGTGATTTGCATGATCGAAGCCAGAAATACTAAAAAAACTAAGTGACTGTATTTCGGTTTCGCACGTAACTTTTATAACTAAGGATGAGAAATGAAACATTTTACCCTGTTTATGATGGGAAACGTCTGGCTTCAGTGTTCATCTCTTTAGGAACGGTTAGATTTGCATCACGAGATCGATCAGATCGAGAGTACAAATTAAGTTTCTGCCTTTAAACGGTAAGCTATCTGTGCGTGAAAACTTACCCGTTGTACTCATGAACTTTTCATTTTCTTGCGAGTGTGATTTGCATGATCGAAGACAAAAATAGTAACTTTTGTAATACATAAAAAAACGGACGGAATGGATCGGTAATTTGCTCGAAAATAACTTCAGTCACTTGTCTTAACTTTGAAGGTATTTTAATACAGTGACTGAAATATGGCAACAAGCAAAAACCAAATGACAGAGAAAGGAGGTAGCTTGACTTTCAGTGATAAACAATAGTTATAGTTAATAGTTTAACATATTTCTTTTAGGAAGAGGAGAGACGTGGAGAAAATGGACTGGACCACAGTTAAGTTGTAGGATCCGCGCATCTGGAAGGCACTCTCTTGAAAACTCCTAGCGGAATTTCGCGCTACTTTAACCTTTTTATTCCCTCTTTTCCTCAGACAATTGCAAGAAACTTGCAACTAGAGGGCACTAACACCGAGCGATTATTTGAATGATAAAAATTATATATGGCTTGGGTTCTTCCCTGTCTTCGAAAAATAACAAACAATTGCAAGCTTGACAGGCTTGCTTCCCATTTAATTTAGTATTGATGTCAACATTACCTGATTTCTCCAAATTCGGGGAAACTTCGTGTTCCAAGGCTACACGGTCAAAGCCAAACAAGTCACAATTGAGAATTATGGGCTCACTGTAGTAGAGGGAGGATCTCAATGGGGTGATGGCTTTTACGGCTGAAGGTTCCAACTCAAGCGAATGAATTTCGGTTTCTTACGTCACGCTTTTATAACCAATGATGGAATTGAAAATGTAAAAATAACTTATTTCATTAATTTTTAACAGGGAACGATCAAACGTCAAAACAAAGCCATGAGGATTATTCTGGGGGCCAACAGAACCACCTGCACACAATATGTGAGGAACAGTCTAGGGCTGTTAACCACCTGCACACAATATTATTGTATAGTTATTAACACTATACAAAAGAGACGATTCCTCAGATTTGTTTTTATTTTTAGGATTGTACACGACTAAAACTTCCCCAAGCAACAAGAGGTTTACCTAACCAGTGGGGCTGAGCTCCAAAACAGAAATCTACGGAACCAAGGCACTCTCGACGTACTACAATCTAAGACTTCTTCAGGAAGAAAGACTTTTCCAAATTGCTGATGCAAGTGACTGGAACTCACTTCCCTCAGAACTTAGGATAGGCTCTTTTTAAATTAAAATTGATGCATCTTTGAATTTATGTGTCACGCTTGTCATGCAACTGATATAATACGATTGAGAGGATTTTAAAACTGGAACTCAAATCTGGCCAGAAAGTGATAGAGCATAACGCGATCATCGAAACAGCTCATAAAATCATAAATAAACAAGGTAAGAGTGTTTTGTTAGATTTTTTTACAAATTGTACTGATTTATGCCAGTAAACGGTGGCGACAAATAAATATTTCTTTGCCAGCTTCAATAGTGACAGAGGATTAAGTTTGGATGATAAAACAGCGGATTAGGTTGACAGAAATACCGGAGGCCAAGTATATTCGCCACATGAGGTCACACAACTCGGTTAATGTTCACGGTGAAAGTTTGCATATTTGAGCGGTCGAACGAAAAAAATAATTTCTCGAAAACTGAAATATATTTTCACAAAAAAACTACACCACAATTATAAGGACATATTGGGCTACAAAATATGAAAGTGGGGGTGAAAGCAAATTTTGGGTGACTTGCCGCTGTTTGTCTGATGCTTGCTGACATTAGCTCTTAAAGCGGGGAAGCCCCGAAGATGTTTTTGCGGGTATTACAGATCGGAAGACCTACTTCTTCGATGAAATCAGCTTTCATAAAATATTTTGCAGGATTCCTTTTTCGCCTATGTTTTGTTATCTCTTTTACCAAGAAATATAGTTTAACAGAAGGCACACTTCAAGAAAAGCCAGTCTAATTCGAACGGTTTTAATTTGTTTTTAAGTCTTCACCTTGACAAAGCCAGGACTAGCAACAAGAATGCACTTGATGACTGAAAAATTAAATCAGAAAATAATTTTTAATAATAAAAGGGTGTTGATGATCAACAATAAAAAGTGCATGCATCCATAAGTTAATAGCACATACACAACAAAAAAATCTTGACCAATGTTTTGGAGCAGGATGCAAAAATCTGAACAAAAATTTGGATTGTGGGAGTGAAGGACCATGGAATGTTTGCGGTAAAGTGTAAGGGGCGGGGGGGGGGGTTCCTTTTAAGCAGTGCGATATGTCTGTTATGACCAGGGTGCCAAATTTTATTCTTTAATTTTGATCTTCTCCACACTGTGCATAGTTCATGACCTGATATTTCAACGTAAATTATCGAGAAGGCGCCTTCCGATCACCTTTGTCTACTTTGTAAGTCACGCAAGCGCGCTAGCGTTACGACCGATCACGTTTACGCAACGTTTTAGGACAACTCGGCATCTAATCTCCACACAGTTGAAGTGAAAACCTAAAATCCTCTACGTAGAAGATAAACGAACGAAGTTTGAACTGTCAAAAGGAGATCTAGGTCTATTCCAAGAATCATGCAAATGATCTGATCGGGGAAAAAAATCATTCAGGTGATGATGGCGGTAGGTCATGCGTTCAGGCGCTCTCGCAGTTTTCAGCTATTTCTTTCCCTTATCTTTACTGATAATCATGATTTTACACGGTTTCCTCTTCATGGACCGTCGATTGGATTGTTTGACCGAGCTGTCGCCTACAACCAAACACGATGCGGCCGCCATTACACACCGACTATCAGTCGCAAAGGGCTTTCATCCTCGAGAGTTGCCTACTATCCAAACTCCGTCTGAAGCTTCCAAACATCATTTCTAATGAGAAGTGGTGATATTAATCCAAACCCTGGCCCAGTTAACTCCAGCGCTGCAAACCCGGAGCCACGACAAGATGGATTTAACCTCCGCGGACTTCACACATTTTATGCAAACGCTCGCAGTATCGTCAACAAACTCGACCTACTTGAGTTGTAAATGTCTCAGAGGAACTACGATTTAATTGTACTAACTGAGACGCATTTGGACCATTCCATTCTCGACTCCGAAATTTTCCCTTCACACTACACTGTCTTCAGGAAAGATCGTGCGACCAATGGCCGTCATGGCGGTGGTGTGTTAATTGCAGTTCGAGATTGCATTCCAGCTACTCTTCGCGTAACTCATCAGTGTGAGTCTGAATTGCTTTTCATTGACTTGCTCTTCTCTCCCACGAGCGGCGGATAACCCTTGGTGTGTTCTATCGGCCCCCTGGAGGAGATACAAAGCCTTTAGAAGACCTCCGGATCTGTATTCAAGAATTGAATTCAACAGCCGAATTAATTCTGCTCGGAGATTTTAACCTGCCGGACATTGACTGGTCATGCAATAGAGCTCTGCATCAATCAGATATTTATGTTCATTTAATTGACATAATCCAGGATAATTTCTTAACGCAATTAGCCAGAGAGCTTACAAGGAATCAGAATATTCTGGACTTAGTTATTTCAACTTCGCCAGATATTGTGGATCGATTACTCGTTGGAGATTGTTTTTCTGATCACAGATCCCTTAGTTTCAGGATCCTCTGCTCGCCTTATGCACAGCGTAAATCCCAGAAGCTTCTCTATTCGTACAGCAAGACTGACTGGACACATTTGAAGTCTTTATTATCTTATATTCCTTGGAGCTGTGCCTTTTTCGATGATGACATTGATTATAACTGGTCCTGCTGGAAAGACTTGTTGTTTACAGCTATGGATCAATGTATTCCCTTGTGTCAAAGCAAGAGAAAAAGTAACGCACCTTGGATAACAAAGGACCTCATTAATCTGTGCAGGAAAAAGAAATCGCTTTATAGCAAAGCTCGAAAAAGTGCCAACCCCGTCCTTTGGGAGAAATACCGAAAGTTAAACAATGCTGTGAAAAGAGAATGCAACCAAGCTCGCTGGACTTACATTAATAACATGGCCTCGGAACTTGACTTCAGTGGTGATTCTAAGCCTTTCTGGAATTACGTTAAGCGTAAACGCAATGGTACTAATAATTTAGTATCCTTAAATGTTGGCGACGAAGTCTTGACAGATGATTCTAGCATTGCTAGCAGCTTAAACTCGTACTTTTCCTCTGTATTCACTACTGAGGACCTCGCAAATATGCCTTCCTTAGAACCTACAGTCAGCGAGAAACTTGATGTTATTTCCTGCACTTCTGGCGAAGTAATGAAGTGTCTCAAGTCCCTCAAACCGAACAAGTCCCCGGGACCAGATCGTATTTCACCAGTAATTTTAAGATCGTGCGCATCGGAGTTAGCTCCTTCGATCTCATATTTGGTAAACAAATCTTTCCAGCTTGGGCATTTGCCCTAAGACTGGAGGTCAGCAGATATTGTTCCACTCCATAAGAAAGGTTCTAAACACTTGAGAGAAAACTACCGTCCAATCTCACTTACCTCTATCGTATGCAAGATCAGCGAAAAAATTGTACGAAATAGGATAACATCCTTTTGGCATAACCTAGACGTGATAAACAAAAACCAATTTGGTTTTCAGCAGGGCAGGTCAACTACGACTCAATTACTCTCAACTATCCACGACTTTGCGAAATCGAGAAATTCATCTTTTGCAACAGACGTCATCTTCTTGGATCTCGCCAAGGCTTTTGACAGTGTTCCCCACGAGCGCCTACTTATTAAACTACGTAGCCTTGGTATTGTAGGAAACTTAATCAACTGGCTAAGGCCCTTCCTCACCTGCCGTAAGCAACGAGTTGTTGTTAGAGGTACCTTTTCTGAATGGGCGCCCGTGGTATCTGGTACCCCGCAGGGCACCATCCTTGGCCCAATTTTATTCGTGTCATACATAAACGACATTGCTGACTGTGTTTCGTCCAATATTAAGAGGCGATCTCTGTAAGAGCGGTCCAGGGCATTTCGCATCGGAAAAAAGTTTTTCTCTCAAACTTTGCCCAATAAACTATTTTTGGTAACAAGTAAATAAAACCACATTAGTTTTTGGAAATACCTCAAAATAAAATTTTTAGAGCTCTCAAAAGTCAAAGCTGCAAAAGGCCCTTTTTTGACCTCTTGCGACATCGAAAATTTCAAAAGTTGAATAGCCCGGTCCTCGTATCACACCGCATGCAGCAAAAAATATTTTGTATTCTTAAAGTGTGTGATATATAAAAACACTCGTTGGACAGCTTTCTGAAATTGGTTAAAAGTACTCTTTCTTTCTCGGTTGATATTGCTCAAGTCCAGACCAGACCATTAAAAACTCCGCTTGATTTCTGCTAATAAGATGTTTGGCGGCAAAAAAAAAATAAAAACATCTTGCACTTATTGATTTTCTTCGCCGAGGCGACTTCGAACTTTTAGCGATATTGCAAGCGTGACAGCCGATTATGCAAATTAGTTCATTGAGCAAACTCCGACCGTTTTATGTGAGTAGCTCAATAAATCTTAGATTTTAACCATTTTAAGTAGAAAACATAGTAGGACAGAGCTTTAAGACCACACCGATTAATACTTTAAGCATATTAAAAGGCCAAAATTTGACAAATTTTATTATCTCTTAAACTACAGGATTCTATTTAGTGTAACCGGCGATTACAGCACACACTAAATTCACCGTGACCAGTGACTCTGTCACGTAATTCCATCGTGTAATTGTCCTGAATACTTCTCACGTCTAAATAAAGCAGCGATTTCTCGGATTTCTCGCTGAAAGGGAAAAAATTATATTTGGTCGTCACATCTGTCTGCATAACAGTCTCTGTTCATAAGTTTGAAGAGTTCTTGTAAAAAAAGATATCGCATTCGCATAACGGGCGGACGTCATAATTAGATTGCATAACAACTACACTCCGAAATCATTTCCTCCATTTTTGCAAGAGGTGCTGCATTTGTATCTTGCATTTTGAATGCGAGCTCAAAATGTTCGCATATGTCTCTTAGCATCTTGACTTTGAGACTAGACAACCTTGCTTCTCTTGCCAACGAGCACACATCATAGATATCAAACATGACTGGATGTTTCAATCTATCTCATCTATTACCGTGTTCCTCGCCTCTCTCAAACACCCTTCGTCTACATCAGACGCGGATGCTTCTATCAAGTGGTCGTCTGCGTCGGTGGCATCATCCGATTCTTATTGTATTTTAGATCGCTGTTTAAGGCACAATCTCGAGAAGAAACCCTGAATCTGTATGTTGGATAACCACTCTGTTCTATCGAACATTCTCTCTCCATCTATTGTGCAAGCAGTTCGCATATCCTTTGCTACTTTCTCTGGAATTGGTTTCTGCCAGTGTCTCATCCGATATTAAATTTCTGTTTCAAGTACTGCCTGACGTTTTGCGAAAGCCGTTCACTTGCACCTCTCTTATGAAGAGCCCATCCCATGGGAAGCTTTGATGTACTTGTCAAGGGTTCTGTGGCCACTGCAACCAGTTCAGTCGAACTTTCACCCTCTAATGACAATGACTGAAAGTAATGAACCCACTACCTCTTCACTTTGTCATAAAGACTTTAAGTCATGCTCGCAGGCACAGGACTTACATGATGAACCAGCTAGTTCATATGGAAGTCAAGGTCGGCCTGCGTCTTAAAATCTTCATCGCTACCAGGTTCAGGGCATTGATAGGAACTACCGTCGTTACCATCATTGCTTTCTCCTGCTGATGCAGTTCGTCGAGCAGTGGTGGGGAAAAATGGAATCTCCTTCACCAGATCCGTCATTTTTTCTGTGGAAAAATTGCAATTTTAATTTTACCGAATATACTTTCCAGACCCAACATTAAACGCTCTCCAAACGTGCAGGCCCTCTTGTGTAAGTTGCTGAAAGTGGCAATCTTGATGTCCGAGCCCTCGTAGAGATGATACTAGCTTACTGTTGTGATAGCAACCTGCTTCATCCGATCTTATAAGGGCCTTTTTTATTCCTGAATTTCGGAACTTCATCGCTATGAACTTCATCGTCCAGTCAACTATTATAAATGCTTCATCTCCCTCCAAAGTATCGACAATTTGCCGCTCGTACTGATCCTGGTTTCTGCTCTCAGGATATACCCTCTTCATTCAAAGATCTTAGCGGCAGCATTTTTTGCGTTATACAGTCTTCCGCTTGAAACCTACCCAATTGCATTGTGTACTCAGAAATAGCGCCTTTTACTTCTTCAAGAACACTCTTCAGCATCTCACAATCCTCACACTTCACGTTGTGACTGTGACTGCATACTTTCTGAACTTCAGTGTCACCAGCATGGCTCAGTGCAAAGACCCTACAGTGATCGGCACATTTGCTATCGTCCTCTTCGCAGTGATTACGGTATGTAGTCTTCAAATACAACTTGCTCTCCTGAAGCCTCTCGCGAACTTCTTTACACTAGTCCTTTTCTGCTCCCACGCTTTCCAATTCGTCTATAATTTGGAGAAAATCCTTGAAACCATCCGCTTCCTCAGCTGCAGTATCGTGTAAACCTCTATATAACGCCATACATCTTAGAAATGGCCTTTGACTTTTGCAAATTGACAGAATACCGGCTCTTTAGCCCTTTGGAATCGCTACCAGGGTGTGTCGGATACTGGCACGCTGAACTTTGGCGCCAGAACTTCCCATAAGTGTGCCTATGCTTTGCGCAGACCCACATTTTGCTATAACTGAGTCTTCTACATCGAACAGGCCAGCCCTTGCAAAGATAAGCTCTCCTTCTGTGAAACTCTCTTTTGACAAATGGATTAAGCAGATATGACTCTTTATTGAGTCAGCACTCTGAGGCAAGTTAAACAAACCGGAAACTCCTCGTGAGTCTTCGAGCGAAGTTTCTGAAGAACGCGACTGAAAACAGGACTTCTTTTGGCGAATACCGCTTCAAGAATTTAGTGTTATTAATCCCAAGCAAACCAGTACCGAAAGAGACATATGAATTACAGCTAATACAATTACGCACTTTACAGTATAGATATAGCTAATTACTGGGATACCTGTGGTAGCCCAGTCATAAAATGCCTTTGTTTTTTTGTCGTCTTTTTTTTTTTTTTTTTTTCCTCCGCCACAAAATGGAAAAATTGCGCAATAGTACCCAGAGGTCATTGGGCCCTCAACACCATGACAACTAACTGTGATCCAATGAAGTGTTCACATGCTGATCACGCGTGTTATCCCTCAACACCATGACAACTAATTATGATCCAATGAGATGTTCACATGCTCATCACGCGTGTTATCTTGATGATGATTGACGTTGTCATGCACAGACAGGGCCGGGTCACATGACGAATCACGAGATTTTGCTTATAAAACTCTTTGGTCAGTTATTTAGTATTTAAACGTATTTGGATTGCGATCTCCTGTAGCACTATGGCGCAAACGCGCAAAATACTTACAGATGCATATACAAGTCGTATTAATCGCGGCTAATCCACACTGAAAGATGTTATTGAGTGGTAATTTTGGAACGAATTGAGTCGCCAACGCTTGAAAGCCATGAAAGCCTTGAATGTCTTGTATGCTACGTATGCCAATGTCTTAGTTGAAAAACGTTCACTTGTTATAAAAAGCAAAATCTGAAATCTGAAACCAAACTGCATATACTCTATGCAATCTATTGAACAACACTACTACCGTGAGACTGAAGAACATAACTATAATGGATGCAAACTGCTTGTGAAGAAAGACGACATGTCGGATTCACTTGATGGTAAGGAACGTAGCTACGATAACAGTACGAATGGTATTAATTTCACGATCAGAAAGGTGAATCTTATAGCTTATGTTTGTTTTCATTGTAGTTTATGGATATTCTTTTTAAATAAATACGTGATCCAAAACCCTGTGTTTATTTGTGTATAATGTTATTATGTTAAATATTGTTTACGCAATTGTCTTGTCACAGGCGGCCCAAGCTCACGTCTCGAGAAAAAACCAACGATTAATTCATGAACGCGTCACGCGTTGTGTGACTCGGTGTTAAGTTACGAGAGGAACTGCACGTTATAAGGAATAGTATAGGGAATGAAGTATGGTCGATTTATAACGATACATATTTCGAAATATGAACACTTTTCTCGTGAAATCAATAAAACTTACTCATACCCCGTGCATCCGTTGTATTTTCTGGCGATTTCTGCCGTTTTAAGCTTGCTTTACCATCACTGTTATTCACGTCATCTACTTTTATTACGTTGGCAAAATCTGTACAGACATCACACTAAACCAACTCGCGCTCAAAGCAAGAAGACTATATTGAAGGCTTGAAATAATATTGCGATCGATTTTCATCAAGAAATGGGCCAGGAATATTCCACAATAGTGCAAATAATCGTGAAGGCGGATCGCAGAAAAGCGATTGCGTGACGCTTGGTAAGCT